TAAGGAGGAAGGGAATCCAGTGACTGATATGAGGAAGCAGGCACAGATACTAAATGACTGTTTTGCCTCTGTGTTCTCCCCAAAGCAGGACGGGGGAGATCCGCATAGGAGATTGGATGAGGCTGGGGACTTAGGGGCACAGATTGAAGTCACCCCCCCTTGAAGTTGAGCGGCTCCTCAAGGCATTGGACATTACAAAGGTGCCAGGCCCTGATGGGTTTCACCTGAGAGTACTTAGAGAGTTGGCAGGGGTTCTCTCACACCCTGGCCTTCATTTTTGAGGCCTCGTGGGGAACGGGTGAAGTTCCAGAGAACTAGAGGGTGGCATCAGTGGTTCCAATTTTCAAAAAGGGTAGTAGAAGGGACATGGGGAATTACAGACCTGTTAGCCTTACGTCCATTGTAGGAAAAACAATAGAAAGGCTCATAATAGAGAGAGATCTAGTGATGCTAGATAGGGAAGGGAGGCTGACAGCCGCACAACACGGCTTCTGCAAAAACAGGTCCTGCCAGACAAACCTTGTGGAATTCTATGACAAGGTTTCGAGATGGCTAGATGGAGGGGATGCAGTGGATGTGGTATACCTGGATTTCAGCAAGGCCTTTGACAAAGTGCCCCATGATATCCTGGTGGAGAAATTGAGGAGTTTTGGGATACACCAAAGCACTGTCTGGTGGATTAGGGCATTGTTGACTGACCGAAAGCAGAAGGTAACCATTAGTGGGGAATCATCGGGATGGTGGCCAGTGACAAACGGGGTTCCCCAGGGCTCTGTCCTGGGGACGATCCTGTTTAATCTGTTCATACATGGGTTGGGCCAGTAACATGTTGGGCCAATTCCAAGTTTGTCATGGAGTCCATGAAATCCTGAGCTGTCACAGATAGGGCACTCTCAGCATGGTTGTCAACATCTCCCAGAAAAAGCAGCCTAGATCACCTCAGCATCACATCCAAGACAACCTCTGTCAGCTTAGGTAGGGAGACTGTTTGGTCACAGATGGACAGTATACCAACAGAATTCCAGGCTGTCTAGCTAGCCCAGCAAAAGATGCAAACACCCTATATTAGAAGTCAGATGGCGAGGGAGCCTAGATAGAGAGGCAGAATTCCTGTAGACCATGGCAGCCCCACTTCCCCAGCCCTTCATAGAATCATATTGGTGTTAAAAGAGACCGTGAAGTCCATCAGGTCCAACCCACCCCGTTTTAGGACACCAGTTTACACCATTCCACTTGGATGATTGTCCAGTTTGGCCTTGAATGTCTCTAGTGTGGCAGAGCCCACCACCTCTCTGGGACACTAGTTCCACTGTCCTATTGTTCTGACAGTGAGGAACCTTTCCTGTTATCTAGCCTGAATCTGAGTTGTCGCTCTTGACTTGATTATTCTGTGTCCTGCACTGTAGTGTCAGCAAGAAGAATCATAGAACAGTAGAGTTGGAAGGGGCCATGAAGGCCATCGAGTCCAACCTCTGCTGTTGCAGGACAGCAAGTTGCACTATCCCACTCAGATCTTGACCTTCCTCTTTGTGACTTTGAGGTACTTATAGAGGGATATCAGGTCCTTCCCTCAGTCTTCTCAAGGCCAAACCTGCCCAGTTCTCTCAGGCTTTCCTCACAGGGCAGCGTTTCCAAACCCTGGATCACTTTTGTGACTCTCCTCTGGACCCTTTGTAATTTTCCTGTATCTTTCTTAAATCTTGGTACCCAAAACTGGACACGTTATTTCAGATGGGGTCTGACTAGTGAGGAGTATTGGGGAACTACTACTTCTTGTGATTTGGAAGTAATACTTCTATGAATACATCCCAAAATAGCATTTGCCTTTTTGGCAACTGCATCACATTGTTGGCTCATATTTAGCCTGTTGTCCTCTGTTACTCCAAGATTGTTTTCTTTCTCAGTTCTCTTGAGCCACGTATTTCCTATCTTGTATCCATGCATTTGATTTCTTTTTCCCAGGTGAAGGACTTGGCACTTGTCCTTACTGAATCTCATTCTGTTGCTTTCAGCCCAGCATTCAAGTTGATCAAGATCGCCCTGGATCTTCTTTGTTTCTTCTAAGGTGTTTGTTCTTCCACCCAATTTTGTGTTAACTGAAAATCTGATTATCTTTCCTTGTACTTCCTCATCTAAATTGTTAATAAAGATGCTGAAGAGCACTGGGCTCAGGACTGAACCCTGTGACATACCACTAGTTGCATCCATCCTGTTTGAGAAGGTGCCATTGATGAGCACTCTTTGTGTCTGATTTAGCAGCCATTTATTTACTTACTTACTTACTTACTTACTTACTTACTTACTTACTTAAAGTTTGGTACACCATCCACTACAAGCATCTGGATTCACCTAATATTTTTTCTGTCTAGTCCAGCTTTTGCTAATTTTCTTATCAGAATGTCATGTGGTACTGTATCAAAAGCCTTGCTAAAATCATGGTAGATTATGTCCACAGTGTTCCCTCTGTCCATTTGGGAGATTACCCAGTCAAAAAAGGAGATTAAATTAGTCTGGCAGGATTCATGTCAGCTTCTATTAATTACTGCATATTCTTTGAGGTGCATTATAGACTGATTTTTTAGTAATTCACTCTAGAATTATTCCAGGAATTGATGTCAGACTAACTGGTCTGTAGTTTCCAGGTTCATCTTTTTCCCCTTTTTGAAGATGGGAACAATGTTAGCCCTTCTCCAGTCATCTGGCACTTCTGTTTTCCAAGATTTATCAAAGTTTTGAGAGCCTCCTCTAGCTCTTCTATGACTCTGAGATGGAGTTCATCAGGCCCTGGAGATTTGAATGCTGTGCCAAGTACCCAGATGGGCAGAGCTGGGAGAAACTAATTTCCTCTGTTTACCTACCCAGCTTTCAGTTGTACATGCCCTATTATACACTTTGCACTCAGTTATACAATATTAGATCATGGATGTGGGAGGTCTTATTTTGCAGCATCTGGAGACCTTAGGTCAGGCTGATAGGGCAACCACCAATTCTGCAATTTAGAGCAAGGCCAGAACATGGCACAAACATTTACTCCTTGGGCCCTGTTCCCCTTACCTGGCTAGCCTTCCACTGAACACCCATGTTCCCCTACTAATCACTACATTAATTGACCCCTCATCAAGATCCTCTGATTGGTCCCATCCTGTACCTTTACTGCACTTGCCTGTGAAGAGGAACCCCTTTCCCAAACACAGAAAGTAACAACTGTATGAAAAGGGGACTTGAACTTGTTCTCCCCCTGAGGGGGCAACCTCCTTTGCCATCAGCCCCTTTGGGGCTATTGCCACTGAAATATCTGTGCCCTAGTTAGGGCTGGCAGATAGCATCCTGCTGTGTCTCTAAGGCAGCTGGGAGTTGTTTTCAGATTCACAACAGGCAGTCTTTCCAGTGGACCTCAGAGAGTTGTCCTCTATCCACGTAGCCCTAATACCAGCCAGGACAAAAAACCTGACATGACAGGGAGGCTGGTGGAGAGGCCAAGCCAGCTGGGAGAGAAGGCTGGCAGTAAAGCCATTGCTCCCATCCTTGTTGAGGGACTCCAGGGCTGCTTCTCAAGGCTACGATCTTCAGATCAGGTATAATAGTACCTTTCATGCATTCCTCTACATCCTGTTTGTTGGTGACCATCCTTACTGGCCACCATCATTTCAAAACCTCATTTGCATTCTGAAAGTCTTTGTCAGTAACATCAATAACATTCTGCCTGATTGTTCTCCAAGACCACAAGTCTGTAGTGTCACTGTTCAAACCCATAGTGGGTGTGACCTTGGATAAATACTCACCGCTTTGTAATTCTTGTTAAGCCTTGTTTTAGTTTGCTCAGGCAGGGTTATTCTTTCAGCATTGTCCAGTCTGAAAATCAAGATGTCACATTCATCTCAACAGAATATATAATTGTAAAGACTGGACAGCAGGGTGTGCATCTCTCCTTTTCTCTTCACAGCCCAGCAGAGCTCAGCAGTCCTCCTCACCTTCCTCATTGCACTTGGCCTGCATAGAATTGCTTATTCTAAATTGCAGGAGTTGCTTCATTTTATTCTTCAGTATCTACTGAAGTATCTACTAAGAATGTCTTTCAGACTTGCTGCAACTTTCAGATTTCGCAGCAAGGGTTGAGGTTGTGGGAGGGCCTTTCTGGTCGCTGAACTTCGAAAACGAGTGACAAACAAGGAGAGAAGTGGGGGCGTTGGGAAGGGTTGGGGTTTTCATGCCTTGCAGAGGGTTGGCTCCTGGTCCCCCTTGGCTCCTGGTCTCTCCTGAATGGCGAGTCATTCCCTGCCTCCATGCCCTTGCTTCTGTCATTACTTTATTTTGTTGAGAGAAAAAGATCTTCAGAACAGAATTATTTAGAATAAGTAAATCTTGACAGATACTGAATGCAGCAAATTTTGAATTGCTGAATGTAGCAAAACTCAGCATAGCCAACACAGAATTGAGGCAGCAAACCAATCATACAAAATAAAAATTCCACAACACTGTTTAAAAAAAAACGTTCAAAAAAAGAAGCAAAACTCAACTTGTTTTTCCCTTTTCTAGGCAGATAACTGAGCTATTTTATGCTGTGTCCCCAAAGTCCCCAACAATGGATTTTTGGGTGGGGCACCCTTTTTCTGTTACATATTAGTGCTTAACCTTAGTTCTTTTCTTAAACTTCCTGAGAACTGAAAAGCAGTAGATTCGTCAACTCTGCTGGCGGGGTTGGGTGCAGGCAGGAGCATCAGTGGGGGACCAATCTCCCTATCGCTCCTGAATTAGGACTAGAAAGTCAGACTGTAGCAACCAAGTGAATCAAGAGCAGCTGGCCTTCATTCAGTAGCTGATTGTCAATGTTTTGAGCATTGTTTGCCAGGTAAATCCTTGGATTTTCGCTAGGAGTCCAACGGTGATATGAGTTGCTGAGGACAACTAGCATGTCAGGAATGCTTGACAGGGACAGGAAGAGAGATGGAGGACACCGTCTGCTAACTCTGCTGTCTTGGACGTCTCTTGTGACAATGCAGGTGTATGCACATGCAGGTGCAGAGTTAGATGGGAAGATGTATATCACCTGTGGAAGGCGAGGGGAAGACTACCTGAAAGAGCTGCATTGCTATGATCCTGTAGCCAATCACTGGGACAGCTTAGCTGACAGCCCTGTCAGAAGGGCCTGGCATGGGATGACTGCAGTGCTGGGGAGGCTGTACGTGATTGGAGGAAGCAACAATGACTCTATCTGTAGAAGAGATGTTCACCAGGTAAGGTGATTACCTTGCATTTCCAGGTCGATGGAGTAATACAATTCCTCCTGCCCTGTCATATCTAGGGCTGTGTTTAGACTTGTGGTCTGCAGGTTACAGCCCACAAAATGCTGCATGGCCTTTATGGTTATATCTATCTATCTATCTATCTATCTATCTATCTATCTATCTAATTAATTAATTTCTATACTACCCAATAGCCAAAGCTCTCTGGGGAGTGAACAGTAATCATAAATACAATACAGTATAAATTAAAGCAATGAAATGTAATAAAATTATGTAATATAAAATTACATTGAAATTAAACTCTGTTAAAACCACATTTTAACAAACAGCTAAAATCAGTTCATACTGATAGACCTGCAGAAAAACAGATGGCAATACCCCCCACCCACCCCCCGGTGCAATTTGGAGTTGGTAAACATGGTGCTTTAAAGATAATACAGTTGGTGCCAAGTGGCCTCAGTGGAAAGATCATTACATAATTTATGGAATGCAGGCCAGAACTGCATTGGACCACTTGGCCCTAGTTACAGGCTAGCTACTGCATTTTGCACAACATGTAGACTTCCAAAGAGCCCCTTAGAGCACACTCCAGTAATGTACTTTAGAGATCACCATTTGGATGTTATGGCCCAAAAGCTGGAAGTCTCTGGTTATGCTTCTGGTCTAAAGGGAAAGCAGAATCATCCCAGCATTCCTGTAGCTGCTACTTATATTTTAGCTTTGTAACCCACCCAGGGAGCAATATTGGCTAATGTAGTAGGATAAAAATAAATTCAGGAAGCTGTTCTAAAGTGTTGCTCCTCTAACAGCTTGGCACTTTCTTCCAGGTTGCCTGCTATAGCCCAAGCACTGCTCAGTGGACAACTGTGTGTCCTCTGCCTTCTGGGCATGGCGAGCCTGGCATTGCCGCCTTGGGTCACCAAATCTATGTCCTAGGGGGAAGATCACATAACCATGGGATCCGCATGGACTATGTTCACATCTATGATGCTGAAAAGGACTGCTGGGAAGAAGGCCCTCAGTTAGAGAAGAACATTTCTGGGATGGCTGCCTGTGTTCTTACACTGCCAAGGGCTGTTCTGGTGGACACGGAGAGTTGGGCCTCTGAGTGCCATGATCAGCCACATGTGGCTCCTGAGGTCATGTGTGTTTTGGCACGGGAGGAATCTGATCATCTGAATGATGACTAAGTGGAGGACTTTTTGCACACTGCAAGCAAACCAGACAATGTGACTTTCCTGACTCGGTTGAGCCCCACAGTTCTGCCACTAAGCTACACTCACTGTGCAGCTAGAGGCTACATGGTCCTGCTAGTGGTGACTGAGCAGGGCTTCTTCTGGTAAGGCTGCTGGTAGGAGAGGCTCCATCGTTTCCTTTACAGGGCTGTTTCCTCAGATGATACACAGAGAGGAGTTTGCACAGAGGTGTGCTTGGGGAACATGGACCTTGCTGTCTCTCCTTTCCAGAATTATGATGTGTGTCTTCATTATTTAAATATTTGCTGACTTGGAAATGTGCTCTTTATTAAGGTGCCTTCAATAACTTGCCAGTACAGTGAAAGCAAGCAATGGGCACTCTTGGTGAAGGGTCTGTTTCCCTCAAAGCTTGTTATGCTTCTCCACCACAGCATAGATGACAGCAAAGATCTTGTTCAACTGTTCTGTGAGCATCAGAAATCCCTTCATCTGTCATAATTCTACTAGGCAAAGGGGTAGAACTGCCTTCCTTCTAACATTTTGCTAGTTCTCCTCTCCCTTTCTCAGCTGCTCAAACTAGCTGCTGCCAACCTTTCCTAACTACTATTTCCTATGCATATTTACACATGGTGAGCAAAACATCAGCATGTCTTTCAGCATCTTTTTGCACATGTGTTCAAAAAGATGGTATGGCCTCCCCATAGGTGCCTTTCACTGAACAGTCCCTCAAACCTGTTGAAAACCAAGACATGCCTTGTAAACTGAACTGCTGGGAGGATGAAAGAAACACACCAAGCACCCCCAAGTACTGGAAATGCACCTGAGTAGTGGATACAAGAGCTGCTTAGCTCAAAAAGAAAAAACTAAAATGGGAGATGCTCAGATGCATTTCTACCAAAGTGCCACCCCTCCCTCATCCTTTGGGATTTCAGCTCAGTCCATTCATAAGTTCCAAGGGAAATCAGCACTTTGTCAAAGTGGCATTCAACATCCTACAGTTTTGATGACAATTTTCCTTAGAAGCTCAAAATTTGCTTCCTTATCTACCCAGGAGTAAATGTTTAAATTTACATGACATTTCAGAGCCCTTATTCACAAGCGAATCATCTTGCTTTGGTCCTCACAACTTCTCTGATTCTGGCCAGATACTGTAGGCCAAATGAAATTAAACAAAGCTGACTGCAATTGAGGGACTGTGATGAAGATTTGACCTCTTGGTGATAGGTTATTTTGGGCCAACATTGTACATCAGCCCTCTGAGAAGGTATAAAGTAGTTGTGATTTTGTGAACAACACTTTTCTGTTAATTATGCATGAATGCTGTCTCTATCTCAGAAGTTCCCAATAACATTTTCCTGTGTTACTGTAGGACTGATTTCCTTTTGTTGGCTGTACAGCTTCCCCACATAATAAAAAATATATTTATTTAGGACAGCTTTTATAATAATTTGTCTTTCGTTCTGTTTAAGACCAGCGTGGCAGCTGACATGGGAGAGAAGCCATGACTCAGGGCTGAAGATGGGTTTCGCATACAGATGAACTATGTGGATGTTGGTTCCCTGTTCATTCATGTAAAACTTTACAAGAGAACACAGTTAAATTGAACAAGCCCCTAATGTTTAAAGGCTCCTGTACTACAAACTAAGCTTAAGGCTATCTCATATCCTCCAGCTGCACACAGCATTTTCCTAATGATGTGCAAAATATGTAGAAGAGAATACAGAACTTGTGGGGTTAACCCAAATCAAATTTTGGATGCCAAAAGTGTATTGTTGGTTAGCAAAGTTGTGTCTGACCCATCGCAACCCCATGGACAATATTTCCTCCATGCTCTCCTGTCCTCCACCATCCCCCGGAGTCCATCTAAGCCTACATCAACTGCTTCAGTGACTCCAGCCACCTCATCCTCTGCCGTCCCCTTCTCCTTTTGCCGTCAATTGTTCCCAGCATCAGGGTCTTCTCCAGAGGGTCCTCATCTGTCCTTCTAAAGAGCAGTCAGGGTTGATCTCCTCTAAGACTGACTCGTTTGATCTCCTTGCAGTCCAAGGGACTTGCAGGAGTCTCCTCCAGCACCACAATTCATATGCCTCAATTCTTCTGCACTCAGCCTTCCTTATGGTCCAACTTTCACAGCCATACATTGCAACTGGGAAAACCATAGCCTTGACTGTCCTCACTTTTGTCAGCAGGGTGATGTCTCTGCTTTTTAGTATGCTGTCCAGATTTGCCATAGCTTTCCTCCCAAAGAATAAGCATCTTTTAATTTCTTGGCTCCAATCACCATCTGTGGTGATCTTGGAGCCCAGGAAAATAAAATCTGTCACTCCTCATCTATTTGCCAGGAAGTGAGAGGACTGGATGCCATGATCTTAGTTTTCTTAATGTGAGTTTCAAGCCAACTTTTGTGCTCCTCCTTCACCCGCATCAAGAGGCTCTTTCATTCCTCTTTACTTTCTGCCATTAGAGTGGTATCATCTGCATATCTGAGATTGTTGATATTTCTCCTGGAAATCTGAATTCCAACTTGTTATTCATCTAGCCCAGCCTTTCACATGTTGTGCTCTGCATATAAGTTAAATAGGCAGGGCGACATTATACAGCCTTGCCATATTCCTTTCCCAATTTTGAAGCAAGCCAGAAGTGTTTACCTACACATTTAATAGTGTGCCCTCTACTAGATGGCACTAGCCAAAAAGAAAAGCTACAGTGGTACCTTGGCTCACGA